GGCAGCAGCAAGCACTTTCATGCTTCACTGTGCACATCACATGAACGTCACATACTCTCTTTACATCTCTCCGTTCTCTGCATCCCCCTCCCTCATCCTCCATCTCTCACAACTCCAGAAACATTTGAACTAAATCTCCAGATCCCCTCTCACGCACATAAAAAACCCAGGCTGTGCTCACACAGGAGTGAGACCTTCTGAGAACGACTGTGTTGATGAATGAGAACAGGGAATCAAGGTGTTATAAGAAAAACAGTACATGTTGATGTGCACGCTGTTACAAATGAAGGAGGAAACATGTCTCAACATGCAGGGGTGGATGCGTTGACAGTTTAGTTGTTGAGCTTGAACCTGTCGCCCCAGATTTAACAAAAGTCAAATGAGACTCACACGCTTGATGTATTAACAATGCCATCTGAACCAAAATAAAGGTGAAGGTAATTATTGATTTAACTACCCATCAGTTGTTAAATCTTACAGTTGTACATTTCTTTCAAATAAATGTAGAAAATGTGCTCTTGCTGTGAGATAATTGCCACTTTGTGCAACTTGTTTCATGCATTTTCCAGAGTAATGATGCATTTTATTGATCCTAATGCTGCCTCATTCAGTCTTTCTGATATGTTTCTGGAAAATTGTCTTAACATGTGAAACCACATTAGTCTTAAGAAAAATAAAATTATTATGATTATATTGGCACTGCACGGGCCCTCCTTCCCAGGTGGGGGTACTCTAGCTGTAAAATTGCTCTTTCTTTTGGGAAGGGAATGTCTCCCATTAAGCCAGCCCATTCAGGCACATCCCTACTCCAGTCTCCTGGCCACCAAACCTCTCTCCAGCTTAGTGGCAGCATTTTCTCCCAGTCCTCTTTGGCCTTTTGAATGATAACCTTGAATAGTATTGTCTTGAGGCATGAAGGAAGCTAAAGGAATTCCTTGGTTCTTGACAGAGAGCAGAAAAGCTCGACAAAAGGCATCAGTGCTCCCTAAATCAGAATGTGTGGGGATATGAAGGGGAGGGTCAGTCTTTCTTTCAGGTAAAAAGCATTGACAGAAAAGGAGGGGAACAATAGCACAGCTCTAATGAAATAAATCCATTCTCAGTGTGCTTTTTAAAGAGCTCAAAATGTGCTTTTAAAAGTGAGCCTGACTACAGTGATGAAATCTGAGGCAAGGAAATACAGAAGAGAGATCACTTGAGCAAGTTTTATGGATTGAGCACTGATATGTAGGACTGATTGTATTTGGTCATATCCAAACTCTTCCCCTGCTCACAGAATAGACTTTTAGAGAAGCCATTAGGCATGAGATAGTCATTCTGAAAACGACTGCATGGAGATCAATTGAAACTCGATCTGCAAATAAGTTGTCAGGCCTCATATCCTGCTAGCTCCGACCCGATCCTCTTCACCCCCTTCACCAGAGAAGACTATCAGGCTTCAGCTGGCTGCCATAGCAACTGAGACAAGACTCCAAAATGGACTGAGGTTTTATAAATAGTGGGCAAAAAGCAGCAAGGTAAACACACAAACTTCCCGGACTTGTGTTGCTAGAGCAGCACTTGAAATCCCCCTGCTCTCCTAGAAATCCAAGTTTAACCTAAAGCGAAGCTAGTATTTTTTACTCTTAATAACCTCTGTTAAAGGTGCACAGAATGCCTTTGGATGCAGTTTGTAGCAGATTTCTCACATTTAGCATGATCCTTTCAGTCCATCTGTTCTACCGTGTCACGTAGTTGTTGCATAGCTGCTTTAACAGCCTTCTGCTGACTTCCAACTATCCTCATGGCAGCCCGGTGGCATCCTGCAATGATTGCTGCTTAAGATGGCCATCTGCTCGCAGGAAAATGAGCAGCGTGCTGAAGTTGATCATGTTGTCTGAGTGAGGAGAAAACCTGTCTGTGGTTTGGGAAAAGCAATGAATTTCACAATTTTGTGGTACAGTGAACATGCCAAGTCTACATCCATCACCTTGTTTGCATGCAGGACATGCTGTTTATTATTTATTGAACATTGCATAATGCTGTAATCAAACAGTTTTTCTTGTTTTCTGTATTCAACATAATAATGGATTTATCACTTTTCCATTGCAGTATTCTTATTTTTTGTTCCACTATCTCTGTTTTCTGCTGCAGTGAACCCATTCTCCTCAGGGGATCAATAAGTTTTATCTTATTTTATGAAGCCATGTGGTTCAGTGCTTGTGATTGTAGCATGTCTGCTAGCTCGGTTGTTTCCCACCGAGGGCCAGGACACCAGATTTAGGTCAAGAAGTCTTGGGACATTCCTAAAATGACTTATAAAAACAAATTATATAATGCAAAATGTCTTCATAAGGCCTTGCTAAGAGGTCACAAACTAATAAGGTTGAGAAATGGCTGCTGTAGCAGACACGCAAATCCCAAAATGTCTATTTGTGCGGATTGGGGCACATTGGTGTCAGCTCAGGGAATCAGAGAGACACTAAAAAGCATCTCACTATAAATGTATGCATGGACAATCAGAGCCTGAGGTAGTTTCCTCTCACAAGTCCACACTTCTCCCCAGCAGCATG